GAGATGGGAACAATTGTGACGGGTACAGAAGGGGACTCTGCCCTCTTGCTCTTGGAAACATTGTTGAAAGAGAAGGGTGTTGCTTGGTAAGGAGCTGTAGGGGGGGATCACGAAAAATCGGTCCCATTTAGCTGGGCTAAATAGAGTAGTTATTGTAGAGTTGCGGTGGTAGAAGGAGGTGATGTGCGGAAAGGGAGTATTGTTGAGGGGGGTAGTATTACGGAGAGATGGAGACTAAGGCAGTAAGGTAGTAATAAGGGAAGATGAGGTGATTGGTGAAGAAGGTTCTGGGGGTAGTTGGTGAAGTTGAAGAAAATGGGAAAGTAGGAGTCACTGGTAGGCACTGAAGAGTGGGTAGTAGTTGTAGTGTTCAGAGTCGTCATCAAAGGAGAGCCTGGGGTCAGGGAGCTGGAGAGTTTGAATCGGTGAGGCTATTTGATGAAGGGCAAGCCTCATTGCCTCTAATATGGGTATTACTTCTTCTACTTGGCTATATTAGGGAAATAGACAGTCCACCCTCAGGGTCCCCTTGAGAGGTATAGGCTAAACAACAAAACGGGAATATCGTGCCCATGGTTCCCTTGGCCGTTCAGGACAGGCACAAAGTCAGACTTTCATCCTTAGGAAGCAGATGGCAGAAGAGCTTGGAGAAGGGACGGAAATGAAAGAGCTGGAGGGAAAAAGATCATGCAAAATTAGTTGAGCCGAGAACTGAGGCCATAGGCAGGGGAGATCCCTGCATTGGGTCTCAGTCTCATCTCCTAAGCCCCCCTACAACAAAGGAGGAGGGGAAGAGGGGAATATGAGTAGGAGGATGGATATCGGTAGTAGACGGAGATGAGGGGGATAGGTTGTGCTGGGAGTAGGATATCTTCCATGGTTTCTGCAGTGGAGTTGGTTGGAGAGTCTTGTGAGACAAAGGTTTCTCTTATAAGGGGAAGAGGAGACTGGTGTCTTAGGAATAAATGCAAAGGTAGGTGGAGGTGAGTGTGTGTGATAGAAGGGGTGGAACATTTAGTCTGTCTGCTCCGGGTAGTGTGGGGAGGGAGAGAGGACTTGGGGCTGTACTTGAGATTGGAGTGTCTGGATTTAGAGTGGCAAATGAATTTGACTGGGGAAGGGAGGAGGTAGAAGTGGAAGTGGGAAATTGGTATAGGGGAGGGTATAGGAACATCCTGGATTGGAGTGGGAGGGGCAAAGGGAGCAACATTACTAGAGTAGGCAGTATGAAACCTTGTTGACGTGCATCATGTTTGCCTTCACATAATGTTTAATGTTTGAAAATAATTATGGTAGACATGAGAGGTCATATAGCACTATGGTAAAGTATTGCGTAGGAAAGGGCAAGGGAGAGTTAAAGATTATGATAAAATGTATTAGATGTCAAAGGTTTAAGAACTTTATAGGATAATATGGTAGTGAAAAGGGGGATAGGGGAGCAAGTGAGCTAGAGTAGAAGTTAGTATAAAGGGGAGGGTAGGGCAATTGAGTGAATTATAGTGTATCTGTCATTGGAGAAGGCATAGGAAAATGTTCAAGGAAGAATAGAGATAGCTGTTGAAAAGTAAAAGAAAAATTTGGGGGGAGGGGATGGTGTTAAATATTAAAGATTAGAGGGTGTTACAGGAAAGTATGGTAATGAAAGGGGAAAGGAGGGAAGTAATATGAAGTAGAGCAGTGATTAATAATGGGAAAGGTTAAGGAGGTAGATCGATTAAATGAATTGTATTGTATCTGTGACTGGGGAAGGAATAGGGATAATAGGTGATAACGTTATATATGGTTGTATTAGTAGTAGGGGATTAGGTATCTGGGGGTTGAGACAAAGGATCAGGAATAGGTGAAGGAGTAGTCTGGGGGTTCGATAGGGACAGTGGGGTCTGGGGAAGGATATTGTGATAAGAGATTCATGTATATCCAGGAGGGAGTGGGGGATAGTAGGGAAGGATGGGGTTTTGGGGGGAGGTTCAGTTTGGGTGGTTGAGAGGATGAGGCATCTTGGGAAGGGGTTGGGGGAACATAAGGGGGCAGAGCAAGTGAGTGAATTGCAGTGTATCTGTGACTGGGGAAGGAGTAGGGACACTGATCAAGGAAAACAGAGGTGGCTGTTGGGAAAAGGAGAAGAATCCAGGGTTGAGAAAGAGAGACTGGGGAAGGTGGTGAAGCACGAGGAAAAATGTTTGGAGAGGAGGGGTCTGGAGAAGGACACTGTTGTGATAGAGAGGATTGTGTGAGTATTCAAGTGGTAGAGAGGGTGGGGTATGTTGGGAGGGTGTAGGAGGAAGGGGGTGGAGGGAACTTGGGAAGGAGGAGGATATCTGCAAATACTTTAAATGTAGCAGGAGTAGGAACAGAGGGATTGGGGTGGATGAGGGAGCGGAGTGTTCCCTTGGGTCATCTTTTAGGAAGTTTCGGATGTCTTCAAGGGTTTCTGAAGGGGAATTTGGTATAGAGGACTGAGAAACAAAGGTTCTCTTATAAGGAGGAGAAGAGGAGATGGATATCTGAGGAACAGATGAAGAGGAAGGTGTAGGAGAGAATGTAGTAGGAGTGTGGAGTGGAACGTTTAGGTTGTCTGGTATGACAACTAAAGTGAGGAGGAGGGGTAGGTATCCGGGAAGTGGTAGAGATTGGAGTATCTGGATTTAGAATGGAAAATGGATTTGACTGGTGGATAGGGTGAGTAGACATAGGACGTAGGTTTTGGGTATTAGGAAAAGATACCTGGGAGATGCAGAAATATCTTGTGTAGATGGTGAGGGAGCAGAGCGCAGGACTGTTTTGGAATAAGTTGAGAGAGAAAGACCTTGTCGTCATGCTTCCTGTCTGGCCTCTCGTAGAGTGAGGCCTAGTTTAAATCTGAGGACTGCTACCTCACATTCAAACTTATAGCAGGCAGCTCCTATAAAACACATTATGGGAGTCTTGACAATTGGCACATGTACTGACTGAGCAGGGCAATTTGAAGGTCATGACCAGGTTGGGCACATAGAGGCATCGGGCTGTGGGAGCGACAATGTTTGGCTGGCTGGCCAAAACGCCAACATTTTTGACATTGAAGGAAGGGGTTGATATTGTCGACATAAGACAATCCACCAATATAAACCTCATGGGGGAGGTCTTGTCTATGGAAGCTAATCTTGGCAATATTGACATGAAATTTGTTGGCCTCTAGGAGGAAGAGTTAACACTGTACTGCCACTGCATCATATTCATCAAGGCAAGAAAAGTCATTTTCACAGTCTGACCAGTCCTTGTTATACATGGGACAAGCATTTGGGGGAATAGAAACAGTTCCAGTACAAGTATTAAGAGTTGGGTGAGGTTCAGCAGGAATGGGTTTGCCAGTAAGGTCAGTTAGGGTAGATAGTGCAGCAAGTAACTGTGACAAGGCGTGAAATATCAGAGTGACTGCGAAAGGTAACCTTGCCTACTTGTTTCTGGAGGCACTGCTGAAAGAGAAGGGTATTCTCAGAATAGGGGGCTGTGGGGGAATCACAAAGAATCAATCCCACTTGGCTGGGCCAAATAGAGTACTCAGAAGGTTTGCAGAGGTAGAGGTAGTAGAAGGAGAGGGAGAGGAAGATGGGGTGGTGTGGAGTGGAGTAGTTCTGGGGGAGGACAATAAGGATGAAGAGTAGTAATAAGGGAAGAGGGGGTTGACACTGAAGAGGGTTGTGTAGCCAGGGATGAAGAAGAGGTGTTTTCTAGGGGTTGAGTAGTAACCTGGGTGTGTGTTTCAGAATGGTTAGAGTTGTTCGTAAGCGTCGAAGAGGGGCTATTAACATCTGTGGTCAGAGCCGTGGTCAAAGGAGGGGCAGGGGTTGGAAAACCATCAAAATCAAATTCAGATAGGCTATTTGATGAAGGGGCAAGCCTTAATGCCTCTATCAAGGGTAAGGAATCTTCATTACTGGCCATGGTCTACCCCTTAGGGTCCCCATAAGGGGTAAGGGCTAAGTAATTAACCAAGGGAATACCATGCCTATGGCTCCCGGAGGCTGTTCGTGTCTGACACAAAGCCAGCCTTTCATCCTTTCAGCACGGCTCTCACACCTTAGGAAAGGGATAGAAGAAAGGAATAATGAAGATCAGAAGAGGAAAGAAGAGAAGAAAGGACCCTGCAAAATTAGTTGAGGCAAGGGCAGAGGCATAAGGTAGCGGAAATCCTCTACATTGGGTCTCAGTCCCCGTCTCCTAAGCCCTCCCACGACAACAATGAGCTAGGTTTGGGAGGGCCCTTTGCAGTTATGACCTCAATTTTTGCATAATTATCATTTGTTTTTTTGTCATTTCCCTATGTCTGTATTTGTTATTTGATATGCTGCACTTGATGGTAAAGACTGTATTCTTTGCACAGACTCCATATCATCTAGGTAGTCCACCACTGTGTACACTAATAAAAACAAAAAGTAACTTTTTGTTATTTGTGTCATTTTGAAAATAATTTAGTAATACTCATTTCTTTGTAACACCATCTGCACTACTAGTCACAGCAGGCAGGAACTGGATCATGAGCAAGGAAACAGTATTCTTCCTGGAGCTGGCACTCCTCTTGTCATGGCTTACATATTCCGCACTCATTTACCAATAAATATCATGCAAGAAGCCCTTCCTAAATACCCAGTAAGCGTAATAACTCTACAAGAGCTTTGTGCATTAACGACCAAGTCATTCCCATCATCAGGCCTTCAGTTGAAATTCTGATGACAGCTTGTTCGCAATCACCAAAGCCATCAGCTAAATTCTTCTATGATTGCCTGTTCAGACCATCTGGCACTCAAGCCACATTTTTTTGTGACATGATGGTCATGTCACCCAGAGCCAAGGGGTTAAATACATTTTCACAATGCCACATCATAACCTCTCTCTGCTGATTCTCACACTTATTTCTCCATAAATAAATTGTTTCCCAAATCAAGTTGATAATGCTACAAATAATGCCTGTCCACTTCCAATTCAATTTTGAACTGCAACATGAAAAACACCATGGGCAGTACCTGTAACACCTGCTGGAGGTAGCACAACCCTTCCAAGCTCTCCATATCTACAGAACAGCTGTGACAGTTCCTGGGCAGTGGTCTTTGCAGGAAGATTCTTCACAAGGATGACTGTGTTTGATCTCTTGATGTTGGATGTTGTGAATGCATCAAGTGAGATACCACTATCTTCAAGAAATCTGCAGTGGAAAAATTATTTTAACAATGCTTCACAGTTTTCTAAAGGTAAGACATATAAAACTAAATTCTTTATTATGATTTACAATTGCAAAAATGAGGGTGTCTACCCATTCTTATTAATGACTTATTTCTAGACAAAAGATAGGACTGGTTTCATCTTACTACAAAAAAAACTTGGGTCAGAGTTTGACTATTTTACTTTTTTACATCTGACCTTATATTTATGTTTGGCTATAAAATTTTGCATTTGATAAGAAATAAAAGCAGCATTTGGGGTAATATTTCTTAATATCATGAGATATGAGGGGGGGGGGGCAGCCGAGAAAAAGTTTGGGAACCACTTGTCGAAAACATAGAGAGAGGAGAGAGGAGGAGAAGAGAGGAGAGGAGGAGAGGAGGAGAAGAGAGAGAGAGAGAGAGAGAGAGAGAGAGAGAGAGAGAGAGAGAGAGAGAGAGAGAGAGAGAGAGAAAGACAGAGAGAGAGGGGGGGGGGGGAATCCTTACCTTTTGGTTTCATCTACTATCTGTGTTTCTCCAAGTGCTAGATTAACAGCTACGCTTTGCTTTCCTTCTGAGTTCAAAATCTGCAAATAGCAAGGAGAAAGAAAATATGTCACAATTCATGCATTCCATTTCTTAAACAGTGGCTACAGAATGAACTTTTTAAAATTTTTTAAAGAGATCAAACTCATACCTCAAAAAAAAATAAGAAAAAATAAAATAAAATGAAAAATAAAAAACACACACTGGTTAAAATGGCAGTTTGAAAATTTACATAAATTGTTGGCACAGCACCCAGATGTATTGAAGGTCTATAGACCTGAATTGCAGTGGCGACAGCTTGCTGCAAGCTTGTATATGCCATAGAGTTGCCATATGTTGATTCAAAAGATTTCAACATAATTTTACTGTAAAATTGAATAAAATCATTTAATTTGGTGTTTTTGGCCGTCAAGTGATAGGCATTCAAGGGCTGTATGCGAAGGGGGGGGGAACAAAAAAGGTCACAATGTCTTTCATTTCCTACCAACACTGCTACAATGTAGGGCAGTGTTGACAGATCACTCTTTTCTTTTTATTTTTTTCCAGAAAAACAAAAAATTAACTAAAATTTATGCTCACAAGCCGCTCTCAAATTGTAACTGATATAAGCACTAGCTGGTTTATAATCTTAGAGAGAGAGACAGCATTTTTGAGATTACTTTTATATATATTATTATGATATCATATCATGTTGTCTGTTTTCTTGTATCAAGATTGCCCAACAGTTTCTCAAGTCTATAAACTGTGTTGTGTTTTTCTAAGACCTTGACTGATATGTTGGGATATTTCACATGACTGTCTCCAATGTATATTGAACATATTTATGATATCTAACCATAAAACATTTATGACAGAACTGTCTCATAAGCATTATAATGTTCTCTCTACTCTCTCTTTAACAAAGCAGGAATATTAATGTTATTGCATAAAAACTATGTGAACCCCTTGGATCTGGATGATGTGACCATCACATCATGAAAAAAATTGGCGAGTGTGGGTGATGTGCCATCACAGAAAAATTTAGCTTTGGGATGATGGGAACATGTTGTCATGAGAATTTTAGCTGAAGACCAAGGTGATGGGAATGATTTGCTAAAAGTGCACAAAGCTCTTGGAATGTGAATATACTCATTGGGCATTTAGGAAGAGGCTTTTGCATTAATTTGCATTATATCGGTAAAAGAAGGTGGGCTGTATGATCCATAGGCCATGATTGGAAGAGCACTAGCTCCATGTTCATGATCCTATTCCTGACCATCGTGACTAGTGGCACATTGCATATTGCGAAAAAAGAAGCAAAAACAAAATGCTACTTACTGTTATTGCACTGACTTATGGACTACCTAGAGAGAAAATATGGAATCTGGATACTGCATAACAAATAGATAATTTAAAACAGAAAGAAAGGAAGAAAAAATAAAAATGCTTATGCAGAAAAAGAGATAACATTGCAAAGGCAAGCAAGGAATCTTATCACAGTACATGATAAGCTTGTGAGCCCCTGGCCTGTAACCCACACAACCATAAGTGACCACTAAAGTAAGCCAAATGCCTGGATTTTGGGCTGTGGTAGCAAAGCACAAGATTCAAGGTGTTAAGAAACAATATGAGTCTGCCTCACAGAAAAGAGAAAGCAATAAAATATATCTGTAAAGAAATAATCATTATGCAATGGTCAGAAAAACTGCAAACTGCTTTCCTGCTGGAAATGCAAAGCACACATACCTCCTGTTTCGACCTATTGTATTTCTCTGACATGAGGTCCACAACGGCACCA